TCTGGAACAGTTTGTAGAAGTCTTTTAAAAAAAAAAACAACATAAAGATTCATAACGAGAAAAAAGAACATTTACCACTGCAAAAAAAGTTGAAAGAGAGAAAAGTGAATGGATGAAAAATTCTCAAGTAGAGCTCATGTTTTGAACAGACCTCAAGCAAACAAACAAGAGTCCTTGTTCTTGAAGGAGTCACAGGGTAACAGGTTTGGGAACCACTGACCTGAATGTAGGTGGAGGATGTGATTATCACTTGAGCTTTGTGTTGAAGTAGAAATCGAATGTTTCACGTGATGACGTCATGCTTCCTGATGTTACAGGTCCAGACTGGGTTTAGATAAAGAGCAAGGAATGATTCACCTGGAGATCAGTGTCTCTGATGGACGTGAGTATTAATATAACCACAGAAAAGATCTTGTTCAAATCACATCGTTATCTCTTGTTTAAATGAGACATCACATAAAATAACACGTTTTTCTTTCTCTAACATTTGCTGTAATTAAAAAACAGCTACGAGGTTACAGCTTCTTTTGTTGTCCCCCCCCCCTCCTCTGAGCTGGCTTTGTGGAGACTTTTCAAACGATTAGACTAATTCATTTTTCAAGAGCCGGGCTATGACTTGGCTCTTTTCTCGGCCAGGACCCAGAGAGAGAGAAAGGGGGGGGCGGCGGTTCCATAAGGCCCCGTGTGTTAATGCCCCGTCCCTGGGGAGTCCGCCTCATTTGGCTGACGCTAACACACTGGGGCAGCTCTCTCCACTTTCTCTACGAGTGAGAAAGAAGATCGGCCTCCAAAGTTGTGCCTATGTGGCTCATGTAATACCATCAGGTGGTTCGTGTTTTTCCCCTTGTTGTATTTTTAGCACTCATATTCTTGCTTACCCACAGGGTCACAGTACATAACTTGCAAACTTCAGAATTGCTCTGACGGAAACAAGGGCAAGCCTTTCCCCGGATTTATCATCCCCGATTCCCTGGTGGTTCAGGACGAATACGTTTTCATCCAGGTGGGTTTTTTATTGCGAGCTTTGGCTTCATTAAAAGACAATTAAAAGCTGCACCGCCGCTTTCAGTCACGTCCTAATGTACAGTCGTTTCATTAACTAAAAGACGCCATTATCCTGGGAAACGATGGCGTGAAACTGAAATTGCGTTGTTGTGTATTATACTAAAGCTCTACTTTGCCTTAATGCACAATATCCTAATTACCACAAGCTCAGAGTTTTAATAGTGGTTTAAATTGTTTGATACATACTGTTAGCAATCAGTGTACACAGTGAAGCTTAGGAGTATTCACCTTTAATGGAAATCGCTGTGTTACTTTTCCAGGTGCCGATAAGTGGCCAGTCTGTCCACTACGTGTCCTACAAGAGAAATTCTTTCTACCCGATGAAGCTTCCTAAGTACACTCGGCCAAAGGTGAGGGTGCTGCAACACGATGGTGCTTCCGGTCAGATGAGCTCACGCAGAGCAACAAGCAGCCGAACAATTTCTCTGTGAAACGATGTGCTTCTCCCTTCTGGCTGTTTTTCTGTTATCATGACGAATTATTGTGGGTTGATTTTTCCAGCGATTTTAAATAACGCTGTTCCCACGAACTCATAATGTTTGCTGACAAATCCGTTAAATAGTTTTCACCACATTAATATCCGTCTGAAAATGGATTCGGCTTTGCATAATTATATCTTTAGATCTCGTGTTTATTTAAGAGATATTAGTTTTTAATCAGTTGCCCTCCCGTCTGCAGCCACAGATATTTACTTCAAAAATATAAATCTGGAGTTGCACAGTGTTTTCCCCTGGAACTCGGAGGGAAGTTTTTGAAGAAGAAAACGTCCATTTGCATCTGCGCAAAACAGTGTTCTGCCCCAATTTCCATTCAATAAAGGCACAGCAGGGCAGCTTGCTGGTTTGAGAGCTTGTGTCATAACAAGAGTGGAAATTTAGTGCCCAATCTATCCATCCAACCATCCAACCATCCAACCATGCACTGTCAAAATTCTGGTAAAAGGGACTCACACCCCCACATGTCTGGTTTCCCTCTGGAGAAGGTATTCAGTGTAATTAAATGAAGCATGTCCTCCTTTTCAGAGCGCGGCATGAAACGAGATCTAATCGCTGCTGATCCCAAATGATGTCAAGAAGTGATGAATTGCTACACTGCTATGCACATTGCCCCTTTTTGTTGAGAGAACTCTCTTCAAATCAGTTCTTGTAAAAGCTGCTTTGTTGTCGCGGCGACATCCACTCATGATTCTCGTATATTCAGGACCTGCAGATAATCAGCACCGATGATAACCAGGTGGTGGCAGCGATTCAGGACTGGCACCAGAACGACTCCTACAACCTGTACATGTCCGAGTCCCGGGACCTGTCCTTCACCCTGATGCTGGAGAGCGTTGTGAGCAGCGGAGGGCCCGAGGGCAACATCATGATAGACCTTTATGAGGTAGGCAGCGACAGTGCTGTCAGGGTGATGCTGTCGTCTGTTTGCATGTTTCTAGCTCATTCAGGCATGTCAAGCAGGACCAGGCTCAAACCCCATGTGTTCTGTGGCCGCAGTAGCTGAAAGGACAACGTGTCATTTTCAATCAACTAATTTGTGTAATAAACATGCAGGTTATTTTCCTTTATGTGTTTCATTCCTCATGCCTGCATATTCTGCAGGCTCCAGATATGCACATACTTAATAGATTACATTGATTTTGCATTTGCCTAATGATGAAATCAGTTAAAAGTTAAATCATTTGACAGAAAATCTATTTGCTACTATATTATAACATAGTTTATCAAGCAAAATCAACAAAAACTAGAATGGCAGTTTTATACCTCTGGCCAGGTCCAACCGTCCCCTTATATTAAAATTCACTCGATACAGTTTTTTTGTTCTAGATCTGCACCAAATTTCAGTCATAAATATCATTCACCTAAATATGTCTGAATTTTTTTTCATCAAGATCTGTGAATTATTCCCTGAGAAATCAACAAAAATGTCCTTGCAAGGATAAAGAAAGTGAAAAAAATGTAACCCTGGATCAGCTTCCAGATCTGGATCCTTCACAATGTCTCTCACAATGTAACATGCGAACAGAGAGGTTTCAGTGTGTATCTAAGAGCACCGTCCTGCTTTGAGCGCTGTCTGTGGCTTTGACAACTAAAATACCAACAGACTGCTGAAAACTTTCTGCAGTTTCTTTTCCCCTTGAATGCTCTGTATTCAGACGTCTTTAACATCCTCAATATAACTGGACAGATGTTGGTACACTGCATTTTGTTCTATGGTATGTGAGTTTCTCCTTTATACTCTCTGGCTGTTTTTATTTCCTTTCTCATTTGACATTATTGTGGCATAAAGGTTTTAGTAAGTTCAGTCTTAATGCAGCTTCACACAAGTTCAGTAACCCTGGTTTCGCTGAAAGCCCACAGTCACAATGCAGACGAAATAGCAGCTTTAACTTGTGCCCTGAACGCGTCGTATCCAAGCTGACAGATGTACTATGAGGTTGCTGTGGTTGCCCATGAACGCATCACTCTGGATTATCCTCATCTGCAGCCAGCAGTAAAAGCACCACTCTGTTACCAACATGCACACCTCAGATAGTCATCAGCGGTGGCTACTCACACCGCTCAGTGACCTAAACACACACACACACACACACACGCACACACACAGAACACCCAGACCTGCAGTGTTGAGCTGTAATGAGCGACCTGTAGAAAATATGAAACGGCCGTTTTTCCCTTCATAAAGACTCTGTGCTCTGCAAACGGAAAAGAAATGTGAACTCCAGCTTCTTCCGACAGTCTCCGTCTCTGTGAGCGTAAACACAAAGAGGGAGAAATATCTCAGGGCTGCGCCATATGTTGTTTTGATTCTACACAGTCCTACAGATGGTCCAAAATAGTGCTCCCTGTCAAAAAAAACTCACTTTCAGACTTCTCTTTCTCGCAGAACCAGGCCTTCCGCTTTACTTAAGTTTGAATAATTTAAGGTGAATTTTTTTCTGTTATGTTTCCTCCTACCGTTCTGCGTCTCTCATGTTTGCAGGTTGCCGGGATTAAAGGGGTGTTCCTGTCAAATAAAGTTGTTGAGAACCAAGTGAAAACTTATATCACATACAACAAGGGAAGAGACTGGCACCTTCTGCAGGCTCCGACAACCGATCTCCAGGGAAACAAGGTCTATTGTGAGCAGGTAAGTGGGCCACTGACAAGAGAGATTTGACTGTTTGGATATCTGTGGTGTTCTGAAAAATATCTGGCACCGAATTCTGTCACACCACGGTCAGAAACCAAATCACCACATTTCATGAAGAGCTACTTTAAACAAGTTAATGTACCTTGACAGTAATGGAGTATGTGACGCTTGTGTGGACTCCATTGAGACGAGCTGCTACAATGCTGGAGCTCATGGGGATCCTATGTAAAAAAATTAATTCAGAAAACTAAAGTTTATGTCGTTCATAAAATTGTCCAGTTTGGTAAACCTCATTTTTTAAGAA